ATTTAAAAATCCCGGGAAATAATGGCATGACAAGCTTTGCTGTCTATTAATTGAGAGAGAATAACGAGAAACATAAACTTTATCAATTTAAATGTTAGATTTTAATCAGTATAATTAAAAAAAAGTTTAGCCAAAAGTACAAGAGACAGGGATAAGAAGCTTGTTTCACAACGCAGAAGAGACACGATGGACAGTCATCGACTTTTCAATATAGGGTAAGCATTTTCTTCGATTAGATTGAAGATTGAAAAATTCAAGGAAATAATGGCATAACAAGCATTGCTGTCTATCAATGGAGAAAAACCAAGGGAAAACATAAACATTTTCTAATCAACAGGGAGATTTTGAACCGAATAATTCAAAGATAGATTCAGCCTAAAGTATAAGGGACAGGGACGAAAAAACCTTGTTTTAAAACGCAGAAGAGACACGATGGAGAGTGGTCAACTTTATCAATAAAGGGTAAGACTGTTCTTAAATTTGCTGTAGAATTAATCTTTTAGAATTCAAATTTAGAGTTGAATCAGAATACTTCCAAAATAAATTTAGCCAGGTATAAAGGGTAGAGTCAACAAACCTTCTTTCAGAACGTAGCAAGGACACGATGGTGAATCTTCGACTTTATCTATCAAGGATAACAATTTACTTAGATTAGATTATGGATGGAAAATTCCAAGGAAAATATGGCAGAACAAGCAATGCTTTCTATCAATGGATGAACTCAACGAGAAACATAAACTTTTGAAAATTTAAACTTAGAGCCTTATGCAAATAGTTCAAAGATAAATTTAGCCTAAGGTACAAAGGGCAGAGACATCAAAGCTTCTTTCAAAAGTAAAAGGGACACGATTATGAATCATCTTTTTTATCTATCTAAGGTAAGAAGTTACTTAGATTCATGTTACTCGATGTAAGTATGTAAGTAAGTATGGATAGAGTTCAGGCTGCAGTGCAGGTGATTCAAAATTGATCTTAATCCCGTGCTTAGGAAAATGTCAATAATTTGTAAACACAGCAGGCATTCGCTGTTCACCAAAAATTTTCTTATTACCAGAGGGTAAGGGTAGCTAAATATTGTTCTGATTGATTTTACCCTTGTTGATTGATTAGGCGAGGCTATATAGCCCCTTCACTATATCCCCTCTTAGATAAAGAGGGGGGCTTCTTTCTCTTTAGAACATATGATTTCAACTCTTGGAACGATACTGGTTATGACGATCATAGCAAATACTTCTTTATCCGGCATTCCAATTCTTTACTTGGATTGAATCAAATAAAGTGACGTAGATTCACTATGGGACTGGAGTATGCAACCATTCCGTTTTCCTTCCGGGTCGGGGTGTTCGTAGGGGGGGGGGGATGTAGATCATGACCAATGATTCACAGATATTATAATAAGAAAAACAAAATAGAAAGTCAATCAGATCGGCCTGGAAAAAATTTTGTTACAGAAGATTGAGGCGAGAAAATCTAAGCACTACATCGCAATTCAATGTAAAAGGGTTTAAGGAATATTAATTCTCCCGAATTACTGGGGTTTTATATTCAATGTATAGGGTCAAATCAGGAGCGGATCCAGACTATAGCAACTGGAGCTCGAACTATAGTCAAAATCTCCATGTTTGATTTTCGGAATTCAAAGTTAAGTGTTAATTCTTCCTCTGCTATCAAGCCTCTCAACATTTGAAAGCAGCGGTATAGGTTATCAAATTATTAACAAACATGCATTGCTGGCGGCTCTTGCTAATGGGCATCTGGAGTCATGCACCCTCAAAAAGATTCAAAGGAAATCTATGATATTCATATTTAATTTTGAAGATAGTCTTACTGTGGTTAATTATATAAGTTTGTATCTCTTCTAGAAAAAGCTCCTTGCTATCCCGTCTCGTCCTTAGCCTCGCTTCTGGCTCGCTAGTGCTTTGAGCGATGATGTCATTTTACGGGCAAAGTTTTTTTGCCCCTAGCCAACATGCGCACCAGCTAATTTTCGACCTCGAGCATTGCAAAACGCCGTCTGTGATTGGCTCATTTGGATTCGGGGCTGCCCTCCCAACTGTGAAAGTCACGAGCCGCCACTGGTCATCACTATGCCTCTCCGGATTTGCTCTGGAAATGGCATCGAAGACAATGAAACTCGTACAATAATTTTTGGCGCGAGCTATAGTGAAGCTATAGTCAGGTTTGAAAATGGGTTTTTAACCAATAGAATATGAGTATCCACGGTACATCTCCGCTCTCTGCCCCCTGTAAAGCAACAGTGGACTATAGCTCGTCTTCACATCCTGGGTCCCCTGTAATGCAGCTTCAAAGGCAAGAACCTACTAGGGAATAGGCAGGGACGGCGGAACGACCAAGCGGCAAGAGAGGGGGGGCAGGCTTGAGTAAAAGGGCTTTTGAAAGATCATTCTCAGCTTCTACAAATTCATACGTAACTGCAATTTTATTACCTGTAGGTATCTTCAACATTGGCTAACTTTCGGCATAAGGAATTATTTTACATGTTTTGAGAAGTTCAGAATTTCATATGAATTTCTCTGATTATTACAATTGGCCAGTTTCAAGGGAACTTTATTAAAAACAACTCTTGCCCCTTCTGTCAAAGGGCAACAGGGGTGGTTGTACCCCCACACCTCCTTCTCTGGCGTCCCTGGAGATAGAAAAAGGATGTTCGAAGGAATATTTATGAATACGAAGCAACTATAAACACACATGGTTTTATCATTTGCCCATATAGTGGGCGTGTCCCACAAGCAAGGAGGGTGTGGTCCCGATCCCAAAAAATTTGAGCTATAATCACCAAAAATCCTGGATCCGTCCCTGGTCAAATGACGTTTCCACATATATTGCAATCAAAGCTTTAACCAAACGAATTCTAAGTTTGCTCTCTGAAAACAGGTTTTCTTTACAGCCGGCAGGTTTTTGATTTACTGCGTATTTATCGAAGTTGCAGAATACTTAAAATAAGAACCCTATCAAAATTATTCAACAAAGCTTATTCGCTTGACGTTAAGAAGAACAGTCTTGAAGATGTCGTATCTACTTTCTGATAAGGTAAGATAAAAGCAAAATTTTGAAAGGAAATAAGAGAACATATTCGATTACCTCAATTAAACGCAATCAGCCTGCGTCCTCTACCTCTGCGTCAAGGCATCGAATGTCTTCTACTTGTCGAAGCTTTACGGTGCAATACAAAATCCAGTATCGAACAAAGTTGAGAAGTTTAGAGATTTAGTTGATTTATAGATCTAGCTGAAGTCACAATAGAGCACCATCAAGTAGGCCATCTTGGATTGTATAAACCTTCAAAAACACTGCCGAATTCATTGCAGAATGCCAGAGCGAACGATATTATCCTCAAGTTTCCATAAGCATCATCAAAACTTTGTTATGCATCATACTTAATATCTGGTTTATAATTCAGAATATTGATTATAAAACAAATGGATTGCTTATTTATATTCTACGAAAACCTGGAATACTCAAGGGAGATTCAATTTGATTGAACCACAGGTAGTCCAAAGGGGAAACCAACAATTAAAAATATAAGCGGGAGAGGTGACTCTTGGGAGTTCACAGGCAATTGTTCCTCCGAGCTGGCAAGAGGTGCATCCAGCTAACAAATATTCTTTTGGAAGAAAGATAAACAATTGAAAGGAACAATTTCTGACTCATTACTTTCTCCAAACCATTTGCTTCCACCGATGATATCAGATTTGTGTTAAAAAAGCTTTAAACGCCAGTGACTTGTTGCGAATTAACTGTTGCACCCTCTACAGGGAGGATCGAACAAGAAACGGGGGAGGGGTGACAGTCTACATAGATGACTCTTTAAAAAATTATTGTAAAAATGATTTTCCCGAGAAAGCTTTAGAGATGATAAGTACTTAGGTTGAGCCTAAGGGGCAAGACCATTTTTGGTAGAAGCTTGGTATCGATCTCCGACGGAGCTTGTCGAAACATTTACGAAACTCGAAAAAACATGAATTTTTGCGATCGTGAGAACAAAGAAATCATTATATTAGGCGACACAAATAGAGTACAGAAGTGTGACGTCATCAAAAATCTATTTTTAGAATTTTTTAAATTTGACCACATAATCTGAAAGAATGGCATAAAATACCCCTCAACATGCAAAATTAGTTAAATATGTTCTAAATTGGGCGAGATATGGCCAATGAAAGATTTCAAGTTTGCTAACGGATTATTGTTATTCTGGCCTGGTTCATAAAGTTATGAACCAAGACCAAATTACAGATAGGCAGAGCATTCCTCTCAACCATCGACCGCATTGCCTAACCTTTGTTCTCTCGGCTGATTATGGAACTATATGGTATAACGAATAATTTAAGCCCTTACAACATTTTCAAAAATTCATCAAAGTCACATCACCGATGACGTCAAAAAAGATGGGTTTCCTCGACTCAACATCATTAAACCTCTTGAGTATACATCTGACTTCAATATAAACGCCAGATTCGAGCTCGCCTGAAGGAAAGCTTTCTAATGATATATACAAATCAGTATTTTAATGATGTCAGCAATTTTCAATGATGACGTCATCACTTTCAAAATGGCCGTCGAACAGTAAGTTTTAACGGAACAGTACATAGTGATACCACCTCTCCGTTTCGGAGCAATTACTACTTACCACAAGTGCAGTGAGGGTAGTAATACGGGTTTTGGTTATTGTTTTTTTTATTTCAGAATTTGCAAAATTGTTCCATACATCTGTTTAAGTTAGTAAGTAACTTCGGATTATTTCCCTGCAAGCTATCTATTTTTGGCAAATCGTTTTTTGCAAATAGCGGCATTCCCAAAGGCTCTCTATATGCTCCTCATGTTTTCCACACCAAAGCATTTTAAAGCTTTCCCTTGTAATTTGTCTTCAATTCGGTTATGTTTAATTTTAGTTTTAGTAGTTTTGCACTTTATTGTGTTTAACATACGATTTTAAACCGAATGAAGATTTTTGGGATGAATCTCAATTTTTGTTTTAATCCCATGGCTTAATAGCGATTTTAGAACGCTTTTTCGTCAGAGGGACAGAATGAAAACTGCTGCCGTTAAGCGTAAATCCACTATACTGATAGATGCCTACAAGCAACTGCGAAATAAGTCTAACATTTTCAACAAAAATCTCAAACAAGAATACTTTTCCAAGAATTTAGCTGCCTGTAAAGGTGACTTAAAACAGTCATGGAAAACAATAAACCTCCTTTTGAATAAAGGATCTAAAACTACTAATTCCTTTAAAGTGAACGAACAGGAGGTCAATAACGATCATGACATCGCTAACTCGATGAACGATTATTTCTGCAGCGTGGGGAAGAATCTCAGTGACAAGATACCCGCCCAGCCTAATCCCCTTCTGCCTCATCAATACGATATAACAAATCCCTCGAATGGAAGAGAACCATTCAAATTCGTTGCAATCGACAAGAGGACCATCGAAAAGGCCTTAAATAATATCAATACATCACATGGGTCTGGTGTGGATAACATTGCCAGCTATTTCTTAAAAGTAGCCTTTCCTGTTGTTTGTGATTCACTCTGTGATATTTAGAGCCGCTCTTTATCTTCGGGTGTTTTCCTTGACAGCTTGAAAGTTGCTAGGGTAGCTCCCATATTTAAGGAGGGCCCTTCTGATGAAAAGTCAAATTACAGGCCAATATCTGTTCTACCAGCCGTTTCTAGATTATTTGAAAAACTTGTGTACGACAAATTATATCGATATCTGGACGAAAACTCGTATGCTTAAAACAGTCCGGTTTTCGCTCTTTACACTCTGTTGTCACATGCCTTCTGAAGTGCACGAATGACTGGTACGTCAACATTGATAAAGGGAAATTTACAGCTATGATTTTCATTGACTTTTGCCTTTGATACCGTTGATCATGGCATTCTTCTTGATAAGATCAAATTCTATGGTATCAGCGGCTTGGAACATGATTGGTTTCGATCGTATTTGAATAACAGGAAGCAGTTTTGCAAAGTAAATGGCGTCTCTTCTGACATTAAAGTTATTGATATCGAAGTGCCACAAGGGTCTTGCTTGGGAGCACTTCTTTTTCTGCTCTATATAAATGATCTTCCCTTTGCATTAAAGAAGGCTGTGGCAAACATGTATGCTGATGATATCATGATTTCATATTCCTCCAAAACTTTGGATGAATCACACACGGTGTTAAACGCTGAACTTATCGATATCGAGAAATAGCTTCAAGGTAATAAGCTATCCTTGAACGTCGTTAAAACATAAGCTATGGTTGTTGGGCAAAATGTAAATACAATGGCAGGGCAGCCTGCTTCGTTGCCAGTGTTTAACGATAGTCTATAGACAACAGCCTAACGTGGAGGTACCAAATAGAGAACATAAAAGGGAAAGTTTCTCGCGCGATCGGCCTATTTATTAGCAACTCTGATATAAATAGGGCCAAATTGCAAAACAGTAAACTTTATTAAATTAGAAATATAATAAGTAAAATCAGTAAAACTATTCATGTCGGGGTGTGGGGGGGGGGTGTGGTGTCTATTGTCAAGAAAATGTCATGAATCCAATGATATAGGAATCAGTTTATCATGCATTGCATATCGATGATGAAAAGATGAAAAAATACCCCATAGTAATACCTTTTCCACCATTAATGAGAAAAGCTGCGTGATGGCACTTAACATTTCAGAGTAAAACGTGAACCAATAAAGAGAACACAGAAAGAAAAAGACGACACTTTTCTCTAAAAGTATGCCTCATAAAATCTCGACTAAACTACAAGTGTCTGAGCGCACAGTAGGGTGAGCGAACTTAATGAACGGGTTTGAAACAACATGAAACTTCTCTATAGCAACCGGGACAAGCTCCTCTGTTAAGAGGCTGAAAAGTATCACGTGGTGCAAAACAAATGGCCAAAGAAGAGAGGCTTGTTGGCTGACACCCGTCGAGCGTATAGAGTAGTTTCTTCTAGATTCTATTGGTAACAATTTAATCTAGACATGTTATTTACCCCTTACCAACCTTACAAACTTGATGACTGGTCTTTTTATAACATGAAGTTAATGCCATCATGCAAGTTTAGTGAATTTCGTTTAAACTGAGTTACGAAAAAGTCCTAAAGACAATTTTTATTTAAGACCTCACAGTTGCGCGATACAAGTACTTAGACAATGCAAATAAATTTACATTTTGTTATGGTAATCATAAAATCTAAAAAATTCAAATCAAACGAAAATATATCTCACAATAAAAAACATTATTTATCTATTCAGAGAGTATGTAATGAAACTATCAGGAATCTCCTGAATTTAAATACCCAAGCCAATCGAAAATTGTGCAAAAACAATAATTATCATATCACTTGCCTTGATAAATATTGATGGGAGAATGGCCGTTGCCATTGAAAGTATTTCAGGCTGTTAGAGCCTTTTGGATCCAAACCAACCGCATGAACCCTTATGGCTCTCCCAATCAGTCATCTTCATCAAACCTGTCAAGTATCCTGAAGCACGCCCCACTCAAATAGTATTTGAAGTCCAGCTATCTTATGTAATATCAAACTATGTCTCGTTTGGTGCAGAGGTGACCAGAGACACCAAAGAACCAGAATGGATTCTTGGCTTATAGTTATGAAGCAACGGACATCTTTACCAATGAAATGAGATATTCCACTTCGACTCAGACACATTGTTTAAGCACAACATCAGATTGACAGAATCATTTTTCCCAAAATTCAAATAGTTGTCTGAATGAGCCTTTAAAACCAAGCCTTAACAACTGAGTTTCCAAATACACCTTGCATTAAAATATTACCTCGTCTATATACTAGAAAAAAATGACATCCGTGTCATCGCTATCGTCCCTGTTGTGGCTCAACCGTCCCGAATGTTCCTGCACAGGACCCTTATGGTTTTTATTATGCAGCGATGATAAAGAGTTACTTTTCGAAGACTTCCCCGAGAGTCCAACTTGCATTCGTTTTTGACGTTCTAAATACCTGACTTCGTTAAATTGTTTTGTTAGTTTCTCAACAGTTCGTTCCAGTTTGGTGGAAGACTCCTTTTGTCTACTGATTTGTCGTTCGTGTTCCTTTTGCTGTTGTACCAATTTCTCTTCGATCTCGTGCCGTTCAGATCGCAGTTTGTTGATTTCGACTCGAGATTCTTGCAGCTCAACTCTTATACTGCAAAGGAAAGGAAGAACCTTTAACACACAAAAACCAGGCCGCTGTGGCACCCAAGGGGCTAAATTGATACCAGCTCAATAAATGACAACACTTTTTTGTTAAAAGGAAGCCATTTTCGGTGATGTTATAGCTGACAAAAAATGAACACTTAGATTATAAATGCATAGCGTTACCCATCATACCTTGCGAGCTCTATGTCTTGTTTATTCGTGATGTCCTAAAGAAATTGAAAATAAGTTAGAAAGCAGAAAAACACAGAACTGGCCTAGTATGATTGTAACATGCGATCGAGCAACCTGGCAGAGATTCAGAGACACAAGAAAATTTATAAACGTTTTACTGCAAATATTTGTATTTTATAGAAATGTACAAATGATTCGTTGCTAAATTAAGTTAAATAAAAGGTATGAATTATAGTGTGATACAATGTCAGAAAGTAATGAAAAATCGCAAGAAAAAAGATCCGGATTTTAATTCAGGTTAGAAAAGTTCTACAAACAAGTATTCAAAATAATAAAGAAATAAAAAAAATTCACTCACCATTAATGAGGTCAGGCAGTCTTTCAGCTGCGTAACTGCGAGTATTTTCTGCGAAAAATACAGTTTATGTTAACTGCAAGCTGCAACTAGGGAGGAGGAGAGGGGGGCTTGTCGAAAGGTCATACATGCAGTGAAATGGAACGTCAAGAAGGGTATTCAGAATGGTTCATCAACCCAAGCTATTTGAATTAAAATAGGGACATTGAAATTATTGTGGCAAACGAAAGAAAAGAATGCAAAGATGCCAAGCTGAGTGTTGAGTAACTAACTATCTTTTGAAGATCCCTCATAATTCTTCAATACTGGGCAATGCTTACCTGAGCTGTCGCACTCGAAACTGGAGCGAGGTTTGAATTCGAGGATGAGGCTGACGAGAGGTCCTCTGATGATTCATTCGGTTTACTTCGACCAATCACAGACATAATTCCTTGACTGGTTTTTCGAACTCGCTCTTTAGGGTCCTGCGAACCGATGTTATTCTCGAGTATCCCTAATGTCTTTCCCCCGAGTGATAATCTGTTCTCTTGTTTAAGTGAGCTTGCACGAGATACTTGGATGGGGGGCATCAAAGTCTTCGAATTTCTATCGAAGCCACCAAATGTTTCCGCGCGTTTAGGCCCAGATGAAGGTCCTTGCTGAGCTTGTGAATTTTGCAGGTGCATTTCACTGTCATACAGCATCGCTGTTAAAGAACTCGCTAAAACAAATAAGTGAGCATTTAGTTAAATAATTAACAGGCAACATAGAACTACTCAAATTTTGCATGAAATAGTGCCAGAAATATAAATTGCAAATTATGAACTTTCAACGAAAAATTTGACAGCTTTTTTTGGTCGAATATAAAGAAACTCAGAGTTAAGGTATATCTGTATGTTAAGGTTATAAAAACATTTTTAGAAATTGATATTTGACTTCCTAATATAAAAGCTAAACATAAACAGCCTGAGCCAGGATGGACAATTATCAAACAAGCACACAAATATGAAACTTAATGAAGAATAGTCTACCTTCAGAAATCGCTTTTTCCAAGGTTTCCCTGGAATAAAATGGTGATAAAATTAAACACTAGAATACGAAGGGTCCATAAAGAAATCAACAAAAAAGTCTGGTAGAAGTATCACAGCTTGACCATATGAAGCAATAGGTTATTAGAATTAAATACCTTTCATTCTTATCAGATGATGTATAAAAAGAATGGTTCAAATAATCATAAAAACAGATGAAATGGTATTCCATTGTATTTTCATAATTGAAATAATGTCTTCCATTGTATTTTCATAATTGAAACAATGCTAAATAGAGGATTCACCTTCCTTCTAGGACATCTGTGGCGGTAAGTTCGAGGTTCGATGTGGAGCTCTGTTAATAGAAGGGGACAAGAACGATCAGTCATATGGAACTTGAATTTACAAGAATGAAGAGAAGTCAGAAAGTGTAACGCTACGCATGTACAACATATTAATTGCAGAAAAAATAAGAAAGCTTTAAGTTTGTTATGATTGGGGACAGAGTGTGGTTGCACAGATGGAATAACAACCACTCGTGACCTTTCATTTTGTTGAGCGATCTATTTAATACTTGAAGAGATATTCAATTACATCTTATATATACGACGCAAGATTTTGTATTTTGGGAAATCTACTTTGGGAATTTTGGGAAATCATATTTTGGGATTTCGTATTTTGGGAGATTTTGGGAAGGATATCAAGGAAGTAAAGGTTGAGAAGAGCATACAAGTTGATAACATACCTTTGAAGAAGATCCCATTTTCTCAATCAGTTCCTGTACAAAGAGGAAATTGATTGTTTATATATCTTGTTGAGTTTTCAGTTAACGTTTAGAGTCATTTGAATTTAGAAATAATTTATATATTCCTTACACACCATCATTTGAATAGAGAGAATGGTGAAAACAAATTCACAAAGCAACTTACCCTCATTTCCACAACCAACTTGTTTTTGTCAGCGATAAGATTCACGAATTGGTAGTCAACAACTTGAAGTGATTCTGGAGATTAAAAATGTTTATAAAAAAATTAAAAGGCTTAAAAGACATATGCATCTAAAAAGGACAACAAAGCAAAACTGGACCTAAAATAATTTTCTCATCGGCTAAGGTTCTAGAGAGGACAACAAGAATCCACAACACCAACAACAAAAGCCACCCAACCCACTCAAAGACTTTATACTCTTAATGATACACGTACGACTTAATACAGTTTGATAAACGCTGTAATCAACATTGCAGTGGGTAATTAAAATGGATTGAAAACAAATGTAAAACTAACCCATTATTTCTTTCAGCCGTACAAGCCGATGTTCTTCCTCTTTGCGTAATTCCTCCTCTAAATCTGACTGATTTTCCTCTGAAGAAAATAAGCAAAGAGTTCGGTGAATTTCAGTTAAATATGTGCTAGAGCAAAACAGGCAGATATGCACGTCCATTGAAATGGAAGATAAAAATAAAGACAAGTAAGTGTAGTATAAGATGACAAAATGCTTTACATATACATGCACATAAGGATGATGACATAATGAATATTTAGGTCTAAACATTTAAAGTTACATATTTTGCTTCATGTTAAGCCGATATATTGATGCATGTATCAACACAGTGTAAGTTGACTTAATTATAATCAATTACAAACCAAGTCTAACCAATACATTTTCATTAAATAAATATAATTTTAAGTGATGCCCACCTTCTTCATCCGGTCTGTTTTTTATCGAAGCGCTAATTTCTTGCATCCACCTAAGACAAGGTGAAGGTCACTTTCAATGCTAATGTAATTATCAAAAAAACCAATTCTCGAATTAAATACACTCACTGGTATAATTATAATCTGAAACAAATTCCATTAGAAGGTACACTAATTTGAATGAGAAAACTCTTCTTCCAAATTCAACACTTTATCTTAGAGGAACGTAAAAGGCTGGTAGAAATAAAAAATTGTCGAAGGGACATCAGAAGCCGGAAAGACTCAAGAAAGAATAATTTAAATAGTTTTTGCAATAAATACTTACTGCTTTTTGCTTTTGATTGATGGGCAAACCATTTCGTACATTTCTGGGCCTTCATTATCGAAAAGAAACAGCGCCTTCATATCTGCAACAAAGAAAGAAAATGTTATCAAACAAACTTTTAAAAATTCATCACAAATGCAAGCAACTAGAGAAAATGAGTGTTGAAGAAAAACCAATCCAAGGAAATGATCAGAAGGGTATCAAGTGTTGGGAAAAATTAAAAGTATTGTAAGACGTTTTCCAGAAAGAAGGGGATACGATACGAAGGGGAACGTAGAAGACGGATCGAACAAAGAGGAGCGACTGTAGACAACTGGGAGTTTACTTATATATACTATTATACAGCTTTCTATTCTATAGCATTAATAGCCTGTTTAAATATTTTGTGGTTGATACTGTTTCATACGATCAATAAATTATAAGCAATGGCAATGTTTGATATTTGCACCATCTTTGAAATCAAGTGCAACAAAGACGTTAGAGCTAATACCTGTAGCAACCTCTCTAGCCATGAGACTTTTTAGGTATATAACAGGACATTTGCTGTCGATAGACACCAGGCTGTACCTCTGGTCTTTTTCGTGGCAAAAGAAGATTTTATCAGCTAGAAGAATAACTCGCACATCTGCAAAAAGAACCCAAAGTTAAGAGTAGTTACAAAAAAAATACTGGCAGTATACTGGCATCACAAAATGTCCGGCAAATCTAACGAAAATAAAGAAGGACTTAAAGCAGAACTGTTAAGTAGAACACTGGACATACTTCAGGACAAACCAAGAAGCTAGTTTTGTCATACTGGACTGAAGTTTGTACAAACGAATTATTCTACAGATAAACGAAAAGTTTAGCGCGAGAAAGCCCCTTATGACAACGATGAAATATTGAAAGTGTCTGGCTCTTTTATGACAAAAAGGTACGTACCAAGAGTTTTTCCTTTTCCTTTCCACGTTAACGTCCCATCATGCATTAAGGCGCTTCTTTTACTAAAAAGTTTGGAGTTCTACAAATAAAAAAATCATGTTTTACTTTCGTTGTGCAACCAAATGTATAATGTAAATAAATACATAATTTAACAGAGCAGTTGAATATAAATAGAAGAACCTTGATATTACATTGATGTAACAAAGAGAAAATATGAGCCAAGTTTGTGATTTAATAGTAGCTGTACCTTGAAGGTTTGCCCATTTTTGAACTGGACCTCGCCACGTGGGTCAAATTTTCTTTTTAATTCTAGAAGTTGCTGCAAAATAAAAAGGTGCTCATTGTGAATTTGATTGTGCCACAGCAAGATATTGCATTGCAAAAAGAAATTATGTAACATGGCTACTTATCCTTGCATCGAGTAAAAGTAACGAATTCTGAGCCAACAATTTGCTCCAAATCTATAAAACCTCGATTTAGAATAAACAAAGAAGCAAGGTTCCTAACCACCCCCCGAAGTGTACTGGTTAAAAATTTCTGGCAAATTTGAAAATTATAGATCCCAAACTTGAGACTTGTAAAGTGTGCTTGTTAAAAATTTCTGGCAAATTTGAAAATTACAGATCCTAAACTTGAGGCTTGTAAAGAGCCATACAAATAGAGAAATAAAAGGATTTTGCACACACGAACCTGTTGCTTGTCATAATCCCTGACGTATTCATCAACGGCCATCAGAACTTGCTGCAGGTTGAAGAGCAAACATAAATATGGAAATAATTATATCGAAGAATAGATCTCTAAGATTTCAAATTAAGTCACTAGTCACTTCTTGCATCATCAAAAAATGATCATCATTTTGCTAACTTTATATTGCATTCACTTAACGCTAATTAAAGTTTGCATCAACATAATCTGTCTTTCGACGTGTAACAAAATAATGCAAGACATTGTTTCGAAAGACACTTAACAAATAATATATCTTTGCATATATATAGAAAATAATTATTGTTTACTAAACGTACTTTCACTTTGGTGATTGATTTTCTCAGGTTTTCGTAATCACTCTTTGCCTCTGTAACACAAATTAGCAAATACATGAAATGGAATAATAAATAAATATTCGTTATAAAAGTAATTTAAACAAAAACAGAACAAGACGAAAGTATTTACAAAATATTAGCGAGGCTAAATCGTGTTTTTCGGTTTTATAATTCTAACCCTTACTCTATCAATCAGAGTAACGTCCAGTGCAAAATTCTGAAGACGAAAATTCACACACCTTTTGTTGCTTTGAGGACAGCCTCGAACAAAAGTGGATACTTGGTCAGTCTTTGAGTGGCAAGAGTGATGCATTCTGGGATCGACAGTCGCCGTACCCTTTCATTCAACATGCATTTCTGTTAAAGGAAATCAGAAGCTGAAATATGATGCATTACCAAATGTTTGTTACTGGTAGAAATGATTTACATCTTGATATTAAAAAAGTTTTCGTAACTCAACAATCCAGGGGGTACTTACCCTGACAAACAGCGCAAACTTCTTATCCGTCTTCATTAGTTCCTTTAGAAAAGAGCAAGAGAAATTCAGCTATACATTATTATCCTTGATAAAAATACATAATTAAAAATCTTCTGACACAAGGCTTCCTTTTGCTTTAAAAGTGCAAGAAATATCATGCAAAACCTGCCAAAAGAAATATCATGCAAAACCTGCCAAATTTTCAGAAAATTTTAAAATTTTTCAAATTTTCGATAGAATTTCCTCATTTTATCGCAATTTTTTTATAAGTAGGAGCTAAAGATCTTTAAATTTGTTCAACAGTATCTGAAGGATTGCTAGATGGCAATATATTTTCAACGTAAATTTAGAAGAAGCTACGGTTATTGTGTTGCAAGGAAAATTGAGAGGGGCGACAATCTATAATATACTGAATAGCAAACAATTTCTATATCAAGTTTCATTTTTCTTTACCTTGTATAATGCAACAGCTTGCAAATGTCGGCTGCAAAAATAACCATAGACCTCTTTCATAAACTCTCCCTTTGGACCATCAAACTAAAAGGAGAAAGATGGTGGTTAGTGAGCCAAACAGAATTGAAAGCAGCACAATGCAGAAATGGAGCCTTTACATAGAGCATATTAACAGTCAAAAGTATCTTAAAAGAGCCAATAACCAGTCTGTTCATTCAGCGTTTCATAAAAATATAAAGTTATCTAGAGATCGGTGTATCTGTAAGGGTAGTCAAGATGTTTTCATGCGTACTTCATAGGAGAAACAACATCACATCGTTGGCCTAACTGATTCAAGAAGAGGCAAATACCTGATCGACAAGGATATCTCCAACTTCCTCAATCACATTATTGTTGCTTTCAAGCTGTCTCTTTTTCAGTCGCTCGCAGAATTTCCCTACAATGTCAATTTACATCACTTAACTGATAAAACCTCTCGAAATTAGATATAACGAAAGTACAAGAATGAAATGCTAAAAAAAATCAGACAAGATTGCAAATTAGTTAAAAACCTAAAAAGTGGTAAAAATATACTATAAGACGATGCCAAAACAGTTAGACATTAATTCTAAAACAAGTTATCAGAAAATAAGCATTTTAACAAACAAAAATATTTTGAAAGTAACACAAAGGTGTTTGATTCAAGAAATGATTGTTGCCATTTGATGTGCAGAGCAGGATGATTCTAAGTTGAAATTGTAAGTTTCTGGTAGCTGCACGCTTAGAATCACGCTGCATCTGGCATCTGCTATGTTTAGAGATTTTCTATTTTATCAACAATAGTATCAAAAGCAAGTAGATGTAAAATTTTAATTTCAAGATATTATTGCCTCTGCTCTAAATAATGTGACTTATATATAAGAGAAAAAGAATTATATACAAATAACGATATCTAACAGAAAGAAGAAGTGTTGTGAGAAGCGTAAAACAAACCGTTTATTTCTAAGAGGTCATCAAGCCTTGGAAACAAAGCCTTGATTGTTTGTTCATCCATTCCCAACTCTCGTCTGAACCCAACACAATAAATCTGGGAGAAAACAGATACTTTCCTACAGATTTTTTCATGAAACAATAAATTTAGATGATAACGAGATTGTAAGAAAATATATTGCAGATATTTACCATAGAATGCTGGCTTTTAAACGTTTACAGTAATTTTAACAACCTAAAACAGAAATACTGACTTGGAATGGATTAAGGTAATGCTAGAAATAAGGAGGCAAGTCTCACCCGTGAAACAATTTTCAACGTTCGAACGTAGTTACTCTCCGTGAAGATGAGTTCTGAAATGTGGAAGCAAAGTTTTAGCAAACACAGAAGGGATGAACGAAGACGAGATAGGAGGTAGGGTTCGCAAAATTAATAGATTCTAGATAAAAACGGAAGAAAATGGAAGTAAGATTTGAGTAAATAACTTTCTCAAGGCATGGTGTGATTAATATGAAAATGTCTTTAAGTCTGATTAGCAGATTGAAAAATCAACCCTCAAATCAAAGAGAAACTAAACTCATAGACCCTTACCATACATGACATCTTGTCGCTTAATATCCTTGGCATGGAGTTTTCGTTGTACCTTCTTTTCCACCAAATCACTCCACGTTTCAGGCTCATTTTTGATATCCAGGTCGGAATCGTACTGAAATGAGAAGCCAAAGTGTGTATAACCACAAATGGGACTTTTACAGAATGTAACTGAGGATGAAACAAGCAAACTTGCGCTGGATGTATGCCCGCATAGACACATTATTACGGACAGAAGGGTTGAACGCAAATAAAAAATGGTATCAATCATAATTCAGTTTAACTTTGGTTGATACAGCAGTTATGGGTGAATGATGGGCCTAACAATCTTTTTAATTTACCAGGTTAGTATTCAGAATATAGAGCTTGCATTGGGTAACTTTTTCTAAAAAAGAGGCCTAACATTGAAGAAAATACAAGAACTTATCGTACCTGTGACAAATCGTCGACTTCGAAAGCTGAAAAGGAGAAGATAGCAATAATTTAGGGTTTAATCGAAAAAGTACGATTTACTAAGAATGACATTAAAGTCCTCGTGTTCCTAGCACACACAGTGCCCCATTCTTTAATGGCCATTCCAGGGGTCGGCCTCGTAGGAACAATATCAATACAACACCTATATTACATTTATAATTAATTGGTCTTAACAATCAAGTACCGCCCATTCTGTTTGTTCACACTGGTTAAGCCATGGGTGGCAAACAAGTGGGCAAATTACCACAAGAACGCAAAAAATGTCTTCACGTGGCCTCACGACTAAACAATCCCTTCAACTACAGATTGAAAACATTACACATAACTGATATAAACATTATGATAAAACCATAACTTCAAAAGCAATCAAACGGTAGGTTCTTAACGTGGGAAATACATAGCCACCCACAAATAGCAAAATCCGAAAAACATTCAAGACAGCTACACAAACTTTCCATCAAGATATTTTACTCTCTTACATAATGGGCATAGTTTGATCAAATTAAATTAAACAATTCTTGAAATAATTTTCGACCATTATTTTGACGTTTTACACTCTGAAGAGTGTCAGGTGAAAATCTTAAATTTGTTAGAAATTTTGTTTAAAAGTTCTTACCCTAAAAAAGCCGACAATTTACAGTATATTAACCATGCAATCAAAGCCCTTTCTTCTCTCTTAACATATAGCAAAGATAGCATAGTACAAAACAAAAATACTGGTATATGAAAATTTTCAAAATTCTAAACCTGTTTCTGTACAAAAAGGAATAACGGCTTAACTGACAACCCGTTAAAATCAAAGAGAGTTTTTACCATACTATTCATTTTTAAACACAATCAAATACTAGTCAGTTATATTCAATTTGAATTGCATCTTTGTTTTGCAAAGGCAATAGAAAATAACAGTAGGTTGATTAGGCCGAAAAAGGAACACGAATTTTAAAACTGATATTTGGGGAAGAGTATTTGTGTTGAAATAGCAAAGAATACAACTTACGAGCATCAGCAACTTCCTCGAGGTTTAATGATCCAAGTGACGAACTCAGAGCACTGAAAAAAAACGCACTAACATCAGTAGATGGCAATGTTTACCAATTTATTTCTACTGCGCAATGTATAACAGAAATCAGCGGCAAAGCCTATTTTGTAGTGTAGGGGTTAATCTATGGCGTTCCATTATTGACATGCATATTTCAGAAATATGTATGCTAACAGCAGGAATAGATGACAGCCAGTTACTGTTTAAACATATTGATTTATTCTGCAAAACAGACGGCTGCAAGCAACTCAATCAAGTATTCAACAAATCGCCTCTGCATCTATTCAACTCAATGTACAGTATCCACCGTTGCAAGATTGGAGCATGTTCCGGAACAGTGAGCAACTCCGAGCCCCGTCGTGGCAGCCCCATCTCTAACGAGTATCTTTTTCTCAGCCAGAAATATTTGTGATTAAAAGTTAACTAAAATCTATCGAATGACAAGCAACACTGTGCGCTGATCAAATACAAGTGCCGAAAACAAAAAGTATTGTTTGGCCAATTCTAAATCTAAAGGAAATTAAAACTAGCCTTAATAGGCCGCAAAGGAATTGAGATCTTTCAGTTATAATCGAACTCAATTAACAATGACAATTACAGCAGATTTTTTGCAGGTCCGACACCATTTTTTTCAATCAAAACAAACGATAGTTACGGCGTTGGGACTTACAATTGATAAAAATATTAATAGACAACCCGAGGTCCCTTAATACCAGTCGGCTGGAAAAGAGATTCAGGACCCCCTGTGAAAAAATAAATTTAGCGTCCAATTTCTGCTTCAATTTTTGCACATTTTTATAACTTGTTTGGCAAGGCAATAACTGATAGTTTTCATGCTTTGGAGCTAAAAACAAAAACCAATATGGGAATGTTACTGGATGCAATATCATAAACTTCCCAAACTCTTAAAGAAAATCTTAAAAATTTATTTCAGTCTATTTAAACGTCTAACGAAATGTCGAAAAATTTATTAAAAAATAATTCAATTCAAACTGTCGGTGAACTGACATTAAAGCTTCAGCAGAGAACTGGCATTGAAGTCTGATTGAAACGCTCGTTGTTTTTCTACATCAAAATTATCAACTGAGATCGTTTTCTTTTGGATTTTACAACCAAGCTAAAAGCAACTAATCAACGTAACTTAGCTTGGCATCTAAAGTAGCCTAGATTAAAGTTTAAAACAGAAACAAACAAAAAAGTCGAAACCAACGCTGCAGCTAGAAACTCAGAAACCACGAAGCAAGGCAAACAGGCTTAGTTTTGTCTTAGAATTGTGCCTGAATAATTGATGAAAGCAAAGTCTCTTGACAAATGACCATATACGATGAAATAAATGCTTTGATTGAATCAGTGGAGAATGAATACAAATACCAAAAACCATTAAAAAATGATAGAATTGTGGTTGAAAGACTAAGTCTTCTTCCAAGGAGAGTCGATGTATGTTAAAAGGCATTGCATTAGAATCTTTCAGGAAGGGGGGGGGGGTCGGTTTCAGTCGGGGTTGGCTGTGACCACAACTAGGACTAACTCTCAACAGGAATAGACCGTTTATTCAGGGATGCGATACACCTTACAACTTTCTTAATTTAAGCCACTGGTTATGTTGTTTGTTTAATGTTTCCATCACTCTTTTTGGTAGTTTTTAGGGCCCAAATACATGAAATTCAACAACATATCAATATAAAAAGTTGTTTAGAGAAGGCATTTCGAAAGTTCTGTGAAAGAAACCTCACACGCTTACAGGACTTCAACAAACCCAGTGCAATGTAAATTATCAATCAACACGAGGCTGTTGCCAAGGGTGACCACTTAAGTAACTTGCAGCAACAAGAGTACAAAATCGCACGAGGCCAATCCGGGCACCGCACGAGGCCAATCCGGGCACAACAATACGCACATTTAAAAATAATTAAAGGAACAAAGTATAAAACAGCGAATTAAATAAACACAGACCTGTTCAGATTTGTTGATAAATGCTCTACATCTGTGACACCGTCGACAACATCAAGATTTCTACAAGAGATGTCGTAAATCAACGAGGGACTATTCTACAGTACTTCTTCATGTAAATATTGGTCAAGCTAGTGTTATACAGTATCATTCGCACATTGATATGAATAATGTGAATCAATATATATATAGGCTAGGACACAAGAGGAATTGTTTATGCGATAGCGAAATAGATAGATATCTCAACACAAAGCGATAACGTAACGATCTATTCTATGCATATACAAAATGACCTACCCCCCTGTTTATACAACATGCTTAACACCCTGTATAAACACCCCAAATTTTTGATACCAATATAAAGCAAAGTTAGTTTATTTTTGGTACCATTGGCATCAAAAGACAAGTCAGCTTGCCTGCGGGTATTGTACATTAATGCTTACAATCTTTTCGTGGTGCAGAATTTAAAAAAGCAAACATTTTGAAACATGTTACTAAAGCTTTTTGTCTGATACTCTTCAGAGAATAAAACGTCAGAACATAGATAACTAAGCCAATCAAGAAGCAAAAATCCAGATTTTATTAAGAGTGCCTTGAATTTTTTCATTTATTACAATGCTTTTCTTCTAAGACTTAACGCAACAAATTTCTTGCTCCTTGATGAGGATTGGCAAGCTTTGATACGTTTCAAATTTGAATGACAGAATCGTCAAATTTCAAACTATTAAAAACGATGATCGGAAAACTAGTGCACTAAAGACAAAAAATCATTGAAAATCTTGAAAATGTGTTATGCATACTTTTGCATAACACGGCTAGCATACAGAGACCATAAAACATGACGGTGGTAGGGACTACGGTTGTGCTGAAGGCTCAAACACGGCATGTCATTTGTATGATATGTATACAACAAGGCAAAACTTTTTAGAATCTATATATACATAAAACAAGTGGACAAGCCTTACTTTCTTGTCCCGGTTGGAGAAGGCCTTCCACGTCCGGAGGAACGAAGATTGTCCATAGACGCGGACTGCATGGCACCTGATCCGGGCTTGCCCATCGATGATCCGCGAGCGAACATCTTGGAATCAGACGAACTAATGTTCATCTAAAACGAAACATACGGAACATGAGCTTTAAGTGAAATAGACAAAGGAATACTGGTAACTTTTTAAATAGCAATCAAGGCAGTTGCAATGACATAATTTTGAGCTCTGGGGTGAAATACAAACAATGATACTACAAAACTCTGACGGTTAAATACATGAGAACTAGTTTCAAGTCTTTTTTAAAAACTTATAAAGCAATTATAAAGAATAGAGGGTGCACAGCAAAGCGTATTCGAGAGCAAGACTGAAACAGTCTAGCAAGGAACGGTCAGTTCAGTAAAGGCTCGCAACCACACTGTGGAAATTGATAAAGATCTTGAATACACGAAAATAGGAAAGCCTGAAATATAATTGCCAAACTATTCGAATTAGCCATTTGGGGTTCGCTTGAAGGTTTTGGTTTAACTTTGTCCAAACGGCCAGCAAAGAAATTGATGAGCAAAGCCTACAACATAGAATTTATTGTTAACAAGGGGGTAACTGATTTCACTAAACCTTTTCGTACAATATAACGCTAGAGAGATAAAGGACCAGAGAACGGGCACTAACCCCCTGTTTAGCAGGCCAGGGCATGCTGCAGCACACAAGGAGGATTAAAGAAAGCAGTCTACATGGCACAGCGAATTAGGAGATACTTATGTTATGCAACTGAAATGCAATCCCATAGAGTAACACACACATGCACCTGAACTCATATCAACCGAATGACGTAACGTGATCATTCTCAGCATTCCAACAAAACCAGTTCATTCCATCTAAAGTGCCCGCTCAGTACCAAACAAAAGAATTTGAACAACCTCAACCATCATCCTATAACCCTTAATCATGATGCCATCCTCCATTATGATAAAGTTGGTTTAATTGCAAAAGGAAAAGCATTATGTTACATAACCCTGAAATAGGTTGCATAAAACAAAAACAGTGGTGACTGAATGTAGAAGTTGCATTGATAACTGTTTGAATGTATAAAGTTTAAACGAGTATCAAGCAGCCTCAATCAAAGTTAGAAAGGAAGAAAAAACAAACATTCGTTTTCAGCATCATGGCCACACAGTTACACACCTTTGATACGTATAGGCCCGGCGAGAGCTTTCTGGGACCCGGGGCAAAAAGAAAGATGGGGACCATGATGGCAAAATTAAAACATTGATTGATACTGTTGATGTTTTTTAGGAACTTTGGTATAACATTTTGGGCCCCTTTTGTCTCAGAGACGAGGCGCCCCCTAAAGTAAAATGATCGTTAATACGCATTTTTATGTAAATACCTTATTTTTTGCTGAGTCTCAAAACTCTGAAAAAATTGTAATTCATGAGCCTCAGATTATTCTTAAATCTTTCTAGAGCAACACAGCGCATATAATGAAACTAAAACGTGACTATGACTCTTTTTTTCTTAAATATAATCCATTTCGAACCAAAAAATTCTTTCGGAGGAAAAAAGACTTTCTCTCGGAGGTTTTTGAAACGGAGTTTTTTCGAAGGGGTGGTCAAGGCTCCCCCCTTTCGCTACGCTCCTGCTTGCAACATTAGATACTATATCTCATACTCCTAGTTTGCTTCTGCGAGCATGGAAGGGTTATTACCGTTGATTGAAAGGGTATCTTAACCCAATACGTTCTAGTGAACTTGAATGGCAGCTAAGGTTGAATCAGTACCAACAACGACCGCTGCGAAGTTGAGATGAAACTAAGGAGGCGACGAGCCATGTTTTAGTCGTTTGCATAACGATTTATGATATGAAAGGGCTGTGGTTTGAGGTCCAAAAGGATTTATGGTGAATATGCAAAGGACTTAAATGGCACAGGGTTTTCATCGTTATCTGTTATCGTTTTCACTTTCATTTTTAGTTTTCAGGAAACGAAATGGATACAGAGGCCCATTTATTTGGGAAAATTTGATGATTTCATACAGTACAGGGGCAAAGAAAACTGCAAAGGAGAAAGCATTTGACATACACACTTGAATGGGGGCCATTTTTCTTCGAAATGTTTATTAACATATGATTCGAATAACTTAAAAAGTATGGGTACCACCTCCCGCAGGTTCCGCTATACTTTTGATTAGAAGTTTGTCACGAATTAATCTAAATTTCAACAGTTCATTCTGGCTACAGATCTTTCCTGACTGAGGCTTGCTCTCGCTGCAAAAAGAGGTTAAGGCTGTACATCCATGGATGCCAAAATGTGTCTGCAAATCTGTGATTAAGTGACAGATGCCAAACATTCCGAAGTTGCAAACATTTGCAAACCAGCTGAATCGTTTCCATTAGATATGAGTGTTATGAGAAATTAAAAGCCCGCACAAAATAGTTTCAAGAAATCTTAACTTTACTTTTAATCTACCTTGGGTGATGTACAAAGCATAACAACAGTGATGGCTGCCAAAAAGTCAATCATATAACCAGGGATGTTCGAATAATGCCAATTTGGAAATAAAGGGTAGAGAAATCTTTGGAAACGACAAAACATGACTTACATTTAATCTCATTAAGGTGCATTATACAAGAAATACTTTCAGCAAAAGAAAAGGTAAACAGGACAAGTGAAAACATTTGTTGGTACAAGAAGTTTTCCTTTCGACTTTAAAGAAAGACAAAACAATAATAACTAATTGAATATTTTTGTATTTGTGAGGGCAAAATGCAGATTGATAAGAAAAGGCGGCGACGACAACATTTCGGACAACAAAACAACTCGCCGCAGATGGGTATTAGGAATGACATTTTTCGATGTTTACAAAAAAGATACCAAGAGAAAGCTAAAAAGAAATCTGTTTGGCAGGGCAATTTGTCACATTATGAGGGATGAAGGATTTTGACACAATAAGAGCTTCCCCAAAAACCATTTCCCCGTGGTAAAACCACGAGCTTGTCAAAAATTGGAACAAATGAAACTAGAAAACAGAAAAGGGAAACAAATTTAGCAAGTCACATGAAAAATGTGCAACATAGTACCTCTGCGCTGGGCGGGCCACTTCTAAATATGAAGTTTGAACCAGTTGAAAGTAGTCGTGCAGCATAAGAATGCCTTCTCGCAATTAGACCAGACCGGGATCTCGCCTTATTTTCAAATAGCGAGGAATCATCGCATCCATTTCTGATGGCAGCTGGACTGCTCAAGGTCTCTTTAAGCTGTGGTGCCGTAAGCAACCCATTCTCACGCTGCTTCGATGGCATTTCATGCAATGTAGGCAAAGAGTACTTTTTGCCGTCTTTTCTCATAGCGAGGCCTGTAACCACTCCTGAACACTGGGAGAACGGTACGACCCTTCACGTTGGCAAATACTGACTGATGAGATCAACAAGGTTGGTTCCAGACCATGAACAGGAGACAAGACCGATACACAGGAAGGGGGTTTAGTGCGGCTTTTTTATAGACAATAATACAAAGGAAGTTATGCTATTCTTGTTAATACCCTAGATCAGACAAGCACCTGAATCTTTGTTTAAACATATTAAAGGAGATCAAGCGAGAACACCAACAAATTATTTCATTGTATCTTACTTCAGAGATTGAAATTCAAGCCACAACGTACACATTCAATTAATTCATTCGCCTCTTGGTTAGAGTAGCACTGGACTCTTGTTCCCGCATAAATTAGTCAGTACCATGCATGACATTCAAGAAAGGGTCCTGTGTGTACGAAACAGAACTATATACAGAAATGTCCAATGAAAGAAAGGGCAACAGGAAGATTTTTCCCCATCCATACAGTCCAATGGCACGGGTGTTTGAGAAGTAATTAACCATGCCACAGTTCAGAGGTTACTTCTAGATGGAAAAATGTAAAAACAAATAACATAAACGTGGCATTTGCCAAGGTTCCCATCATACAGTGCAGGGCTATTTGGTACAAAACAAAACCCTTCTGGCTGCAATTTTGGGTATAGCAAGGAAGAGTGATGATGTAATAAAAATCTACTTTTAGAATCTGAATTTCGACCAGGTAATAAGAAATAGCACGGTATGTGACAGGTTTTCCAAATACCTCAAAGGTCGACAGTAAAGGACTTGCTAAGATATTTTCAGCGAAATACCCAAGCTTTGCTATAGATTACTGCTGTCTTTTCCTGATTCATAAGTTTTACAACCAAGGCTAAATCACAGTGGTTCCACACCTCAGGCCATCTGCAACAGATCTGACTGAATTCGCATATCCAAGTAAGTTCCATGATGTTCTTTGAGGTTATGTTATCAAAATTTGAAGATTGTAAAAATATGTTTTTATGCTTTCATCATTTGGCCACTCTATTTAGTTCACTGATTTTTCATCCAGGATAGTTCTTAACAGAATATTAACAGAGAGGAAATATAAACAAGCAAAAGAGTGTACATATCCTCTGGCAAAATCGAAAGAATTGAGAAAAATGATAGCACAGAGTGATACTCAAAAAGGCTAACAGCTTCATGAAACACATGTTTTTAAAGTGAAAAAGCTGAACATTTTCCTTGGCTCTTTGAGAAAAGATATGAAAATTCTCTCAAGAAAACTTGCCAAACAGGATCTTTTCTACAATCCACAATTTCTTCTGAACAAAAGCTACAGAGATTTCTCACCAAACAGGTTTAATATTTAATAGTTTTATCAAAAAACAGCCTCTGCCTACAACTGTGTTTACAATAAACAAGATGGTTTATTGTGAACAAAACGTATGACAACTATTCTAGTAATTGTTTACTCTTGCACACAACACAAAGCACCAAGACCAAGATAAAGAAGAATCTTAAAAAATTTAACTTTATACGGTTCATAATTATGAAATGAAAAAAGAAACATTTATAATATCAGATCAGAACCAATATGGAAATTGACATAGAAGCATGTAAGTTAAATGGTATTAAAAAAGTTGAAGTCAATAAATGACTCTTATTCTGCTTTGAGAAAAGTGCAGCTAAACCAAATTTTGGAAATCTTCTTATAAGGAAAGTCACGCATAAAATCATACTAATTCAGAAACTAAGATGCAATTTAGGTGCCTTTGAATGAGGACGATTAGAAGCCTTACTCAATATGATTATGTAAGATTTTTAAAACATATTTTTTTCAAAGGGGATGTTGCACCTTATGCCCTCTTTAGCTACGGTCCTGCTTACAACATTAGACGCTATACCCCATACTTATAATTTGTTAGGTTTATGCGAACAAGAAATAGGATGGTAATGCCAAATTTATGACGTTGTAACAAATAACAACTGGAGCTATGCAAGAGGTATCCACTATGCCTCTCGTTGAAACTAAGAAAATTGTTAATATATGCAATTAAGCATATTGTATATGCAGTCATACATACACAGGGCCTTAGACAAAGGTATTTTTCTGGAGGTTAATGAAAGAGAAGGTAAAACAGATCCAAACAGCCAAAGCAGTAGTCTTTAAAGGTTTGTCACCAGTATTTATTAGAACTACCATCACAACAAAGATTGAAATTTGTAGGAAAGCAATCAATATGGCAATAAAAGCCATCATGATTGTAGTTGTAGTTAAGGTACTTGACTGAGAACCGTACCAGTGTGAAGGTTTTTGACCATTATGCTTAATCTTCAAGGGGTACATTTCCATGGAACAGAAAAAATATTCTGTGACAGTGGCATTGTAAAAAAAATTTTATGAGAGTTTGAATTAAATGATACATCAAGGGCTAACCTGTATTTCTTCATTCCTCAGAGAAAATTCTCAACATGATGCAAAATATGATTGACATCAATTTGCAATTCACAGGTTCACAGCCTTGGGAATTTTAAATTAAATGCTACTCAATCAAATTACAACAAATATCCAGCAAAAGAACTAAGAAAAAGTACATTGTAACAAATTACTTACTGAGGCTGGTCGTGTTCCTTGACGAAATGAATGCTTCTTTCCAAGAAACGATGTCTTCCCGTCTAGAAATGAAAATGCCAGATATTCAGAGGTTGTGTTCATATTTCTTAAGAACTGACTTCATAAACTACGATAGTAATTTTTGAAAAACATTATCTTTGAATGATCACTCGCAACATTAGAACTTATTTGCTGCACAAATTTGTTGAAACTGAAAAGCTGGCCAATTTCTATCATGGAAATTCCTTTTAAAAATTGACAGATCATCTCGCCCCAAAAGTTCTCAAAAGACTAGTCCTCATTATTGTGCTGAAGGGGATGTCAAGGTCTCATTTGCCAACAAGTGAGTGAGGTAACATTTAACTGCTGACAACTTTGAAAATTGATCTACAAGGCACTGGCGAAAAACATTGGTGAATTGGTGAAACAGAAATGAGAGTGCTGAACCTCCAACACCCCAATACTCATGACTCTGCTTGTAACAATTTGTAATGTATTTATAATGGTTATTAAACCCACCTAATGCCACAGAAAATGATACTTTAATAGATAGAACAATGTACTTCAAATGGCTAGCTACCATATCATATTTTTGGATTGAAATTAGGTACAAATGGATAACCAGATGGAAGAGATTGGAATCAAGTTTATCAATTGATGTGATGAAGGTAGCCATCTCATAAACAAAACAATTGTGTATAGGGCATAAGCAATTATAGATTCTGGGCTTAGATTAAGACTATTACTTTAATTATATAAAAACAACTTTATATAACAACTCTGCCAAAACAAACAAAAACAAACTGCAATTCAAATCTAACCACAGATTGTGCCACACAGGCTCAGAGAGCAGTAAGAAAAGTTGGGGGTCTAAAAAGTGTGGTGTCAAAACCGAATAAAAAGAAACTTTGCTGGTGGTCTGCTTCTCAAAATTTTGCATTTTTTGCAAAAAGTAGGACAGGCTAAAGGCCCCCAAGCTCCCTGCTCCATAGTGCCTGCTACAACAAGTTTCACAAAGTACGGTACAAAAAGGTTACATTCAAACTTATGGCTTGTGATTGTCATATGATATGCTTCAAAATTAAGTATCATAGCCCAGAGGGTCCTGAACATATGAGGTCTAATGTTGAAAGCAAGAATTATTGGAAAACAAAATATTTTCAGCAGACTGAAATAACATATACTCTAGAAAGCCATTGTAATTATTATTTAATTTGATTCATTAATGAATATTATAAATCAGTATCATGCTATTTTCTATTAAAAGTTGGAGGAGCATCTGCCAAAAGAAATACCAGAATATATTGCAATATTTGTAATGAAGATAGGCCACAAACAGGTTAAAGTTTGTAAATTGTTTCTTCACCTGCCTAAAGCAGTCTCTAGTGATATTCCAGACATAAATTCATTCAGCATCGATCAAATAAGCAAATATGTTTTACAAACAGTTTTCAGAATTAGCAATCATCGAACCAGAACTGCATCTGCGCGAGCAGAAAACCATCAAGCAAAAGTCGATTATTATAAAACCATAGGAATTTACAAATCTCCGTTAGATGATGGTTACTGCGGCTTGACAGGTAAACCATTGTTACAGAAATCGTGTTTATAACAAGATTTTTAACTTCCTCGAAAATATCCCGGTTCTCTCCCGGCTCGCTGTGTTATATGCGCCAAAAGCCCTTACAAAGCAAAATATCAAAAATTTCTGAGTTTATCCTCGACGGGAAGGGCAACAAATTTCACTATCATGTTACTTTGGAAAACCGCAGATGCCGAACAAACACGCATGAAAACCAACGAAGCTGGCGGGCCTAGTATCTATTTGTGCAGAAATGAAAGCAAAATTCATCTGCAAAACAATCCAAAAGCATAATCTTTACTTTACGAGAAATGGGAAGAAAACTAATGTAATCACCAACGTTGAATGTTTCAACACATCCTCCACAAAACAATTCGAAGGTCCTTAACGTTCAACAGAATGCAAACTATCTTAAATTTGTATAAGGCAATAGCCTGACTTTGCATCAGTAAATCCTATTTTTCCCCGACCTTCCTAAAGCTATAAGGCAACTTCTACACGAACTCGCATTGACAAAATTATCCCATTAATGCATCACAAAGTGAACGGTGGATGCATTGGAACCAAACAGATTTACTGGCCTATCGCATCCGAATGAAATCCGTACATGGAGAGAAAACAGAAGGTATCATGCTGCTTGCAAAACTTGCTTCCACGTCGAATCAAGGTAAATCAACGCTCCTTCAATCATTTACATAAGAAAACCTGTTTCTTTAGGCGGCGAAGAAAGAAACATCACACTAATTCGTAATTACCTGAAAACCGAGTCAGATCATTGATTTCCTGCCCGCCATCTTGAAGTACTGTACTAAATATTTCGTGTCCAATGATGCGTTTAAAATCCGGACTCATTGTGACAATGCGCATAATAAGCATCATAACATGAACAACGGAGCCGCACAATGACGGCAATCTTAGATTCCACAACAACAAAATAACTGTTTATTTAAATCTAGACTTGATGTTAAAACATCATAACAAGAAACTTTCTGTTAAATGGCTAAGATGATAAGCTGAGCTTCGGGCTTAACCTCGACACCGGCCGTCAAGGAATGCCATTGATGCCTCTCTGAACAAATGGGGGGGGGGGGGTGTCATGTAATGAGCCAAGAAATGCAAAATGGTTTGTTAACCATATTTTCTCTCCCGTTTATCATAATCATGACGACATTAATACTTTTGCTTAATAAATTGCATCTCCTAAATTTTTGAAAGCGATGATGACAGATAACAGCATGTTTTGTTTCTCAAAAACTACGTCTTCAGAAAGGAACGAAAGATGAGCTACAAAATAACATAACCCGAAAGCAGCAAGCGAGGGTCTCTTCAGCAAATGGGAGCTTGGGGATGGGGTTGGCAAAATGGTCCCCCGCACCCAATATCTCATCATCGATATGATCGAGAATAAACAGAGCGACTGATGAATCCATCTCTCGTTTGTGAAAAAAGTTTCCCAAGATTTCTCAAAACATCAAAGTGCCTTTCTTGAAACACCTTCAAACAGGACATAGAAAATGCCATTCTACCATTTGGCATTTTACCATTGTTACAAACAACTTCAAAATGGGAGGGCATAAGATAGAAAAAGTTTAGATACAAAACTTAACAATATATTTCATTCCCATTTGCTGCTAGAATTTGTGCCCCTCAAACGATTATAAAAACCCCTTGTTTTCAATAAACAATTCCGTTTGCTGTTACTGTTCTCAAACAACATTGTCCTTCAAACAATTCTGCTTTTTCTACGGTGCAGTTTTTCTTTACATTTTCTAAAACTTTTCAGCTTTTCAAAGAAAACTTTAACGTAAAACAAACCACTTTATATTTTAATCAAACAGAGGCTTTGAAAAGAAATTTTTGAATTATTCAAAGGCGAGTTCTGGCGTTTCCTAATTCTTTGACAAAACCGTTTTCTAAAAATAATGTTAAGAGATGGCTAACATAGTGAGAAAGTTTTGAAATAAGATATAAGGGCACCTATCAAAAGCCCACAAGAACAAATGTTTTGTTTGACACAATGTATACATAGGTCGTGAGTACTAACTTGTAAGGCTGACAAAAAAAGAAAAACTTGATCCGAGATTGTGTATTCTGTGAGTCGATTTTCTATTCATAAGAATAATGTCAATATTGTCATTGGACTTGAAATAGCCTGAACTTCTCCAGAAAGTCAAATGAAAAAATTTCCAGTACACTGGAGCATAAAAACCACAAATGCGCAGAACCCTCCTCTTTCCGCGTATCACTTCCTCGTTTTTGTTTTACCCCGACCAGTATCATTACATCAGACCAATGGAACCAACTTAAAAGTTCATTCAGGAAACCACATTCCTCGTTTTTCGGAAAAACGAATCGCGAAGGGTTGTCATTTAGTGGTTTTTATGCCCTCCAGGATGTACTGCGAAATTTTTCATTTGACTTTCTGGATAAGTCAGGCTATTTCGAGTCCATGACAATTATTGAAAATTACTTCTTAGAATAGAAATCGACCACAGAATACACATCTCGGATGAAACAAGTTGTTTCTTTTTTGTCAGCCTTAAAAGTAGTACTCACACCTATTTACATTGTGTCAAACAAAACATTTGTTTTGTGGGCTTTTTGATTAGGATGCCTTATATCTTATTTTCAAACGTTCTCCCTATTTAAGCCATCTCATTAACATTATTTTTAGAAAACGTTTTTGTCAAAGAATTAGAACGCCGAGAACTCCCTTTTGAATAATTAAATAATTTTCTTGTCAAAGCCTCTGTTTTGATTAAAAATAAAGTTGTGTTTGTTTTACGTTAAGTTTTTAATTTGAAAAGCTGAAATAAGTTTTAGAAAATGTAAAGAAAAACTTGCAAGCCGGATTTAGATAAAATGAGATGTTGGAAGACATGTTGTTGAAGAACAGTTTACAGCAATACGAGAATTGTTATTGAAAACAGGGTTCCTTTATAATCGTTTTGAGGGGCAAAGAAATTTAGCAGCAAATGCGGAAGTGAAAATATGATTGTAAGTTTTGTATCTCAACTTTTTCTATTTCTTATGCCCTCCGCATTTTTGAAGTTGTTTGTACATGGAAAATGCACATGGTAGAGAATGGCATTTTCTATGTACCGTTGTTTGAAGGTGTTTCAAGAAAGGCACTTTGATGTTTTGAGAAATCTTTTTTGGGAATACTTTTTTCACAACGAGAATGGGATTCATCAGTCGCCCTGTTATTTCTGATCATATCGATGGAATGGAATATTGGGTGCGGGGACATTTTTGCCAACCCCGATCGCCAAGCTCCCATTTTGAGAGAGACCTCGCTTGCTGCTTTCGGTTATGTTTTTTGTTTAAGCTCATCTTTCGTTCCTTTCTGAAGAACGTAGTTTTTTGAGAAACAAAACATGCGTGTATCGTTCATCATGCTTTTCAAAAATTTGAGATGCATTTATAAGCAAAAAGTATTAATGTCGTTATTATCTGATAAAACGGGAGAGAAATATTGGT